ACAGGAGCACACAGGTGGGTACAGGAGCACACAGGAGGGTACAGGAGCACACAGGCGGGTACAGGAGCACACAGGTGGGTACAGGAGCACACAGGTGGGTACAGGAGCACACAGGCGGGTACAGGAGCACACAGGTGGGTACAGGAGCACACAGGAGGGTAGCCAACTTCTTGCCTAGCCAACCCTCCCTGGCCAGGATACGAACCCAGGACCAAGTTGGTCGTTAACCGCGGGCAGCTAGGTGTGTTACCGCTGCGCCATGAGGGACATGTCGGGGCAAGGCTCCACTTGAGGGTTAGCCTCGAGCAGTCAGGTCGTCCTCGAAGTGTAGAGTAGTAAGACTCATGTCTTCCAAGTATCCATGCACGTGGAGGGTTGGGACAGCGACGGCTTGACCACACGACGGGTCGGCGTTCCTTGCGTCCCTTGTCAGTTACTGCAGGAAAGAGCGGATTTTCCTCTACTATAAAGGTGTAATTTTTAGTTCAGTTGTTCCCAACACATTGTTTACCGAGAGTTAGAGTCGGCAGCATTACTGCCGTCTGTGTGTAGCTGGCTCATTGATCCTCTGCTGCAGTGTCTGCCTGACCCTACCACTGCACCAGCTGGCCTCACGGACCTCCTCCCTCTGGCCTCCCTGTCTCTTCCCCCAGTCAAGCCACGTATGGCGCCGTTGTCTGTTCTGTTGTCAAGCCACGTATGGCGCCGTTGTCTGTTCTGTTGTCAAGCCACATATGGCGACGTTGTCTGTTCTGTTGTCAAGCCACATATGGCGCCGTTGTCTGTTCTGTTGTCAAGCCACATATGGCGCCGTTGTCTGTTCTGTTGTCAAGCCACATATGGCGCCGTTGTCTGTTCTGTTGTCAAGCCACATATGGCGCCGTTGTCTGTTCTGTTGTCAAGCCACATATGGCGACGTTGTCTGTTCTGTTGTCAAGCCACATATGGCGACGTTGTCTGTTCTGTTGTCAAGCCACATATGGCGCCGTTGTCTGTTCTGTTGTCAAGACACATATGGCGTTATAGTATTTTTTTAAATTTTGCCCCGGGAAGTGACAGTATTGGGCAGCGCCACTCATCCTGTGAGTGGACACACCGCCATAGTGACAGTATTGGGCAGCGCCACTCATCCCGTGAGTGGACACACCACCATAGTGACAGTATTGGGCAACGCCACTCATCCTGTGAGTGGACACACCGCCATAGTGACAGTATTGGGCAGCGCCACTCATCCTGTGAGTGGACACACCGCCATAGTGACAGTATTGGGCAGCGTCACTCATCCTGTGAGTGGACACACCGCCATAGTGACAGTATTGGGCAGCGCCACTCATCCTGTGAGTGGACACACCGCCATAGTGACAGTATTGGGCAGCGCCACTCATCCTGTGAGTGGACACACCGCCATAGTGACAGTATTGGGCAGCGCCACTCATCCTGTGAGTGGACACACCGCCATAGTGACAGTATTGGGCAGCGCCACTCATCCTGTGAGTGGACACACCGCCATAGTGACAGTATTGGGCAGCGTCACTCATCCTGTGAGTGGACACACCGCCATAGTGACAGTATTGGGCAGCGTCACTCATCCTGTGAGTGGACACACCGCCATAGTGACAGTATTGGGCAGCGTCACTCATCCTGTGAGTGGACACACCGCCATAGTGACAGTATTGGGCAGCGCCGCTCATCCTGTGAGTGGACACACCGCCATAGTGACAGTATTGGGCAGCGCCACTCATCCTGTGAGTGGACACACCGCCATAGTGACAGTATTGGGCAGCGCCACTCATCCTGTGAGTGGACACACCACCATAGTGACAGTATTGGGCAGCGCCACTCATCCTGTGAGTGGACACACCGCCATAGTGACAGTATTGGGCAGCGTCACTCATCCCGTGAGTGGACACACCGCCATAGTGATAGTATTGGGCAGCGCCACTCATCCCGTGAGTGGACACACCACCATAGTGACAGTATTGGGCAACGCCACTCATCCCGTGAGTGGACACACCGCCATAGTGACAGTATTGGGCAGCGCCACTCATCCCGTGAGTGGACACACCGCCATAGTGACAGTATTGGGCAGCGCCACTCATCCTGTGAGTGGACACACCGCCATAGTGACAGTATTGGGCAGCGCCACTCATCCCGTGAGTGGACACACCGCCATAGTGACAGTATTGGGCAGCGCCACTCATCCTGTGAGTGGACACACCGCCATAGTGACAGTATTGGGCAGCGCCACTCATCCTGTGAGTGGACACACCGCCATAGTGACAGTATTGGGCAGCGCCACTCATCCTGTGAGTGGACACACCGCCATAGTGACAGTATTGGGCAGCGCCACTCATCCTGTGAGTGGACACACCGCCATAGTGACAGTATTGGGCAGCGCCACTCATCCTGTGAGTGGACACACCGCCATAGTGACAGTATTGGGCAGCGCCACTCATCCTGTGAGTGGACACACCGCCATAGTGACAGTATTGGGCAGCGCCACTCATCCTGTGAGTGGACACACCGCCATAGTGACAGTATTGGGCAGCGCCACTCATCCTGTGAGTGGACACACCGCCATAGTGACAGTATTGGGCAGCGCCACTCATCCTGTGAGTGGACACACCGCCATAGTGACAGTATTGGGCAGCGCCACTCATCCTGTGAGTGGACACACCGCCATAGTGACAGTATTGGGCAGCGCCACTCATCCTGTGAGTGGACACACCGCCATAGTGACAGTATTGGGCAGCGCCACTCATCCTGTGAGTGGACACACCGCCATAGTGACAGTATTGGGCAGCGCCACTCATCCTGTGAGTGGACACACCGCCATAGTGACAGTATTGGGCAGCGCCACTCATCCTGTGAGTGGACACACCGCCATAGTGACAGTATTGGGCAGCGCCACTCATCCTGTGAGTGGACACACCGCCATAGTGACAGTATTGGGCAGCGCCACTCATCCTGTGAGTGGACACACCGCCATAGTGACAGTATTGGGCAGCGCCACTCATCCTGTGAGTGGACACACCGCCATAGTGACAGTATTGGGCAGCGCCACTCATCCTGTGAGTGGACACACCGCCATAGTGACAGTATTGGGCAGCGCCACTCATCCTGTGAGTGGACACACCGCCATAGTGACAGTATTGTGCAGCGCCACTCATCCTGTGAGTGGACACACCGCCGTAGTGACAGTATTGGGCAGCGCCACTCATCCTGTGAGTGGACACACCGCCATAGTAACAGTATTGGGCAGCGTCACTCATCCTGTGAGTGGACACTCCGCCATAGTGACAGTATTGGGCAGCGCCACTCATCCTGTGAGTGGACACACCGCCATAGTGACAGTATTGGGCAGCGCCACTCATCCTGTGAGTGGACACACCGCCATAGTGACAGTATTGGGCAGCGCCACTCATCCTGTGAGTGGACACACCGCCATAGTGACAGTATTGGGCAGCGTCACTCATCCTGTGAGTGGACACACCGCCATAGTGACAGTATTGGGCAGCGCCACTTATCCTGTGAGTGGACACACCGCCATAGTGACAGTATTGGGCAGCACCACTCATCCTGTGAGTGGACACACCGCCATAGTGACAGAACTGGGCAGCGTCACTCATCCTGTGAGTGGACACACCGCCATAGGGAAGGGCAGAACTGGGCAGCGTCACTCATCCTGTGAGTGAACACACCGCCATAGTGACAGTATTGGGCAGCGCCACTCATCCTGTGAGTGGACACACCGCCATAGTGACAGTATTGGGCAGCGCCACTCATCCTGTGAGTGGACACATCGCCTTAGCAGCATGTACAACACTCCCCAATAGGAAGAAAACCCGCTGGGTTGTTCATCCTGTCACTTGTACCCAGACACAGCTGGGACTTGCTTAACTGTCTCAAGTGAACAGCTATTTAAACAAGAAGATTAACATCTGTCAACCCTTAAAAGCTTACGTTATCTTGCGGGTGTAAAATGGACAGTATTTTGTCTTTTTAGGACAGCATTTATATTTGACAAATAGTATTTTCCTAACTCAAACAATGTGGGGTTTACTATGCTACAAACATTTCTAATGACTCTTAGATGTTCACATTCACGTAGATAGTGGTCAAGGCGGTGTCCGTCACTCTCACCACAGATTCTGCAACTTCGCTGATCAACTGTTATTTCCATTCCATATCTCCATGGATATTTGTATCTAAGACGGATTCTCGCTATTACTGATTCTCTCCCTCGTCCTCCTCCTCTTCGGCCATAATGATTGGGCTTGCCAGCTGTAACCATGTTGTACCATCGTACAGATTCACTGGTTTGTGCTTCTATCCTCCTTTCCTCAGTTACCTTGTCACGGTGATGTTGCCTGACAATACCTCTAATTTGTAGTAGAGTCTTGGGTATGAAGTATTCAATATGGTCTCCTTCAGCACCTTCAGCAGCCAGCACATCTGCTCGTTCATTTCCACATATTCCAACATGAAGGGAGGAGGGGGGGGGGAGCCACAGAAACTTGACGACTCTTCCCTGGTTGGTCAGTACTCTCACAGCTCTCTTGATCTCAGCGACTATCGCAAGATTTTCGTCCCGATTTTCACCAAGGCTTTGTAGCGCTGCTTTACAGTCAGTGCAGATCACTGCACCATTAGTGCTTTGTTCAAGGAATCTTAACGCCATAACAATGACAGTTAGCTCCGCTTGTGTTGAAGAGGCATAGTTCTCAATACGGCTGCAATACGTGCTTTTTCTTCATTTCCACGTTGAAAGGCATTACTCCTAATTACCGTGTATGCTGCACCAGCCCTGTCATTGACAGTGTTAGATGATCCGTCAGTGTTGATTTGATCTAGTTCATCTCCGGCTTCTTTATAAATATCCTGGAGATACTTGTGCCCTTGTTTGTCCTGTTGTCAAGCCACAGTCTACCTCTACCAGTAATGAGACACATCACCACGGTTTGTTATCATAGGTATTGTAGGTGTGTCTCTCACCCAAGGTGGAGGAGGTGTATCTCTCACCCAAGGTGGAGGTGTGTCTCTCACCCAAGGCGGAGGTGTGTCTCTCACCCAAGGTGGAGGCGTGTCTCTCACCCAAGGTGGGGGAGGTGTGTCTCTCACCCAAGGTGGAGGAGGCGTGTCTCTCACCCAAGGTGGAGGAGGCGTGTCTCTCACCCAAGGTGGAGGAGGTGTATCTCTCACCCAAAGTGTGGAGGAGGTGTGTCTCACCCAAGGTGGGGGAGGCGTGTCTCTCACCCAAGGTGGAGGAGGTGTATCTCTCACCCAAGGTGGAGGAGGTGTATCTCTCACCCAAGGCGGAGGTGTGTCTCTCACCCAAGGTGGAGGCGTGTCTCTCACCCAAGGTGGGGGAGGTGTGTCTCTCACCCAAGGTGGAGGAGGCGTGTCTCTCACCCAAGGTGGAGGAGGCGTGTCTCTCACCCAAGGTGGAGGAGGCGTGTCTCTCACCCAAAGTGTGGAGGAGGTGTGTCTCACCCAAGGTGGGGGAGGCGTGTCTCTCACCCAAGGTGGAGGAGGCGTCACGCCGCTCCTGGTGGCCATAATTAGCGAGGTGGGCGCCACATACCAGACATTTTCCTCCTCTGGAGTGCGTTAATGAAGCCCCGGAGAGCTGTGTGTTGGCGAGAGCCGCACCCGCCACCAGGAATGTGTCAACTGTGTCTCTGACCGCCCCGGGACTGTTGCCCTTCACGCTGGCCCCGCCCCCTTTCCCACACTGGCCCCGCCCCCTTCCTCACACTGGCCCTGCCCCCTTCCTCACACTGGCCCTGCCCCCTTCCTCACACTGGCCCCGCCCCCTTCCTCACACTGGCCCCGCCCCCTTCCTCACACTGGCCCCGCCCCCTTCCTCACACTGGCCCCGCCCCCTTCCTCACACTGGCCCCGCCCCCTTCCTCACACTGGCCCCGCCCCCTTCCTCACACTGGCCCCGCCCCCTTCCTCACACTGGCCCCGCCCCCTTCCTCACACTGGCCCCGCCCCCTTCCTCACACTGGCCCCGCCCCCTTCCTCACACTGGCCCCGCCCCTTCCTCATACTGGCCCCGCCCCCTTCCTCACACTGGCCCCGCCCCTTTCCTCGCACTGGCCCCGCCCCTTTCCTCACACTGGCCCCGCCCCCTTCCTCACACTGGCCCCACCCCCTTCTCTACACTGGCTTCGCCCCCTTCCTCACACTGGCCCCGCCCCCTTCTCTACACTGGCCCCGCCCCCCTTCCCCACACTGACCCCGCCCTCTTCCTCACAGTGGCCCCGCCCCCTTCCCCACACTGGCCCCGCCCCCTTCCCCACAAAGACTCCGCCCCCTTGTCCATACTGGCCCCGCCCCTTATCCCGTCCCATTTGGGACCAACTCTTTTTAGTCCCAAACGTCACTGGGGCAGACGAGAACATTACAGAGCACCTCACCGTAGATGAGGCCAACATGTATGGTGAGGTGGGGAGTGACAGTGAGGTCCAGGCCTTACTGAGGTACAGCTAGGAACTCCACACACACTCAGACGACTGTCTCACCGTGAACGCAGCTGAACACACTTATCCCAGCTGAACATTGCTGTAGTCAATTTGTAGTTCAATATGTTCAAATGTTCAAAATACTGAACATTTTGTACGTGGTTTCTCACTTAACTCATTTAACTTGCCCTTGTTAGTTTCATATTGCCGTGTTAGTTCAATGTTTCATGAACCCTGGGCCCTAGTCCACTACGGGATCACCATAGCCCGTGCTACTTGCAACTTGTTGTTGCGAGTAACTGACTCTGCAACAACAACAACAACAACAAGCCCCGTGTGGCACCATCGCCCGCTGCAACACTCGCAACACTTGACCAGTTGGTAAAATTGGACAAAATATTATGGAGAAAAGTAAAACAAAATTGTATTGAAAGGATTGAGTGTTGTTGATGGAATGCCAAACTTCTCCCTGAGTGTCACGACTCAATGCTTGGAGTCTTGTGGGTCAAATTAGTCGAATGTTCCTCCAAGCAATCCCATAATAATATTAAATGCTAATGAGAAAAATCACCAGGAGCTATGAGGAGGCTTGGAATCCGCTCACTTAGTACTCCCAAGTAACGTAGTGTAGTGGAACCCGTTCTCACACTAGGCTGGTTAAAGCAGCGGCCGTCCTCCCCAGATGCAGTCATCAACATACTGTGTATTAAACATTGGTTTGTTCTCATATATAAATTAATATTATTATACATAAAAATTCTATGTATAGTTACGCGTAGGTTAGGTTAGGGTGAAGTACGTTGGTGAAGCATTTATAGAATTGTGGTTCGAACAGAGGACGTGAGCGAAGCACTTGTTCCGGAAGTGTTCGGACGTCATCAGTTGTGAGTCGTGTGTAAACCGTTTTTCATTTATATACGAGGGAGTTTGGCGGCTGGATTAACGAGCTTGGAACTTTGTATGCGAGGACGGGCTGGGTCTAAGGCGGTGGCTTGGGAGTGTAACCAGTGAGCGGGGTTCGAATCCTCCTTAGGGCTCCTACTGACGTCTCTCACTGATTACATCACATTATTAGTCGTGATTTCCTAGTGCACTGTCACTGGTGGTAACGTGAGTGACATGACAGCCTCGTCACTGATGGTAACATGAGTGACATGACAGCCTCGTCACTGATGGTAACATGAGTGACATGTAATGACGTACCAGCCATGATGACTGATGCGTCATGACTAGTACTCACCTAGTTGTGCTTGCGGGGGTTGAGCTCTGGCTCTTTGGTCCCGCCTCTCAACTGTCAATCAACTGGTGTACAGATTCCTGAGCCTACTGGGCTCTATCATATCTACACTTGAAACTGTGTATGGAGTCAGCCTCCACCACATTACTGCCTAATGCATTCCATCTGTTAACTACTCTGACACTGAAAAAGTTCTTTCTAACGTCTCTGTGGCTCATGTGGGTACTCAGTTTCCACCTGTGTCCCCTTGTTCGTGTTCCACCCGTGCTGAATAGTTTGTCTTTGTCCACCTGTCAATTCCCATGAGAATTTTGTATTTGGTTATCATGTCTCCCCTTACTCTTATGTCTTCCAGGGATGTATGGTTTAGCTCCCTTAGCCTTTCCTCGTAGCTCATACCTCTCAGTTCCTGGACTAATCTGGTGGCATACTGCTGAATATTCTCTAACTTTGTCTTGTATTTAACTAGGTATGGACTCCAGGCTGGAGCTGCATACTCCAGGATTGGTCTTACATAAGTGGTATACAGGGTCCTGAATGATTCCTTCCACAAGTTTCTAAAGGCAATTCTTATGTTGGCCAGTCTAGCATATGCCGCTGATGATATTCTTTTGATGTGGGCCTCTGGGGACAGGTTCGGTGTGATATCAACCCCCAGATCCTTCTCTCTATTTGACTCTTGCAGGATGTCACCTCCCAGATGGTACCTTGTGTTCAGCCTCCTGCTTCCTTCTCCTAAGTTCATTACTGTACATTTTCCTGAGTTGAACTTTAGCAGCCATTTTCTAGACCATTCTTCCAGTTTGTCCAGGTCATCCTGTAGTCTCTGTCTATCTTCATCCGTCTTGATTCTTCTCATAACTTTTGCATCATCAGCAAACACTGAGAGGAATGAGTCTATACCCTCTGGAAGATTGTTTACATATATTAGAAACAGGATGGGTCCAAGTACTGAGCCCTGTGGGACTCCGATGGTGATATTTCGCCACTCTGATACCTTCCTTTCTCACAGTTACTCGCTGTTTCCTGTTGCTTAGATATTCCCTTAACCACTGAAGCATCTTACCTTTTACTCCTGTCTGTTGCTCCAAATTTTGCAACAGCCTCTTATGGGGTACTGTGTCAAAAGCTTTCTGACTGTGCAAGATAATACAGTCTGCCCACCCTTCTCTTTCATGGCTAATTTCTGTCGCCTGGTCATAGAATTCTGTTAAGCCAGTGGGGCACGATTTACCATCCCTGAACCCATGCTGGTGGTGTGTTACAAAGCTATTTCCCTCCAGATGCTCTACGAGCCTTTTCCTCACGATCTTCTCCATCATCTTTCATGGTATACAAGTTAGGGACAGTAGCCTGTAGTTCAGTGCCTCTTGCCTGTCACCCTTTTTGTATATTGGGACTACATTAGCTGTCTTCCAGCTTTCCGGTAGGTCTCCTGTTTCCAGTGACCTGTTATACACAAAAGAGAGTGGCACACTTAGTGCTTCTGCACTTTCCTTTAGTACTGGTGCTTCATGGGTGGTGCGTCACGGTACCTCTTGCACCGTCTCCTACAGAGCCAACGGTACAGTACTGATACTCATTGTTACCCATAACCTGATGAGTACTCTCACTGATGCTTCCCAAATAAATGGCAAATAAATGGCTTCCGGAACTGAAAGACAAGAGCCACGACGAGAGTTAGAGGCATTAAATATGACAAAGCAAGAAGATAGCAGGAAAAGAGGCGATGTGATCACTATGTACAAAATAGTAATGAGAATCAACAAATTTATAAAGAAGAATTCTTGAGACCTGGAACTTCAAGAGCAAGAGATCATAAATTTAAGCACGCTAAACAAAACTGCTGAAAATATATTAGGAAATTCACTTTCACACAGCAGTACATGGTTGACACAAGTGAGAAGGTAGTGGAGGGCAAAACCTTCAATAGTGTCAAAGCATTATATGACAGTGTTGGGAAGACGGGACACTATGAGCATAGCTCTGATCCTGTAACTACACTTGGGTACATATTATTGAAGGGCAATAATAGTATCATTTAATAACGTAACGTGTAAACTATCTTTCATAGGAGCAATTACGAAATCTTCTGATTGATCCCAGTCAATCCTATGGCTTAACTGGCTGACTGATGATTAACTGAGCCAAGAGCATGTTTAACAGTGTGATGGCGTTGGCTACGTTTTAAAACCGAAGTATGTAATTAGATTTCCCTCACCTTCTATGGGTCTCAATTGAGTATAACATGAGACAGCTTAGTTTGAAATTTCATGGAGAGTTGACGGACAAAATTCTGTTACCTGTGGTAGTTTAAATTCAGGTCTCATATTGACAATTGTGGCGGTCGTTGGAGCTCACAGTGTAACTACCATGGCCTCGCATGCTTATCATCTATATTTCAACAAATATATAAATTGTTTTGGTTATTTATAGAAGCATATACTATTTACAATACAGGTTATTTATAGAAGCATATACTATTTACAATACAGGTTATTTATAGAAGCATATACTATTTACAATACAAGATAATTGTACATCGAATCGCCTAACCTCACAACATAGACAAGGACAAATATGAACACACCAGGTCAAGGAAGACTTTTGCATCACAGAGTTCCACCAAGACTATTTATGAACATAATGCCCCTGTTACCTAGCAGTAAATAGGTACCTGGGAGTTAGTCAGCTGTCACGGGCTGCTTCCTGGGGGTGGAGGCCTGGTCGAGGACCGGGCCGCGGGGACACTAAAGCCCCGAAATCATCTCAAGATAACCTCAAGATAATACACACAAATAAACATAACTGACTACGAACCACACAGGGACAAACCATTCCATCGAATACACATCGCAACAATTTTATTTACATAAACAGGTTTACACAAAACACTCT